AAAATGTTATATAAACTGCTAGCCCAGAGTTTGACTCATCTAATAATTCCAATAACTCCCAATGTCAGTGACTACCCACAGCTTCCCTAATGTGAAATAGCTTTCACTCATTTCATAAAACCACAGTATCTCTGGAAAATCATTTCATACATTTCAGTCCACTATCAAAAAGCCTTTTTGTTTTTGAGGCAAACCAACCCTAATATCATATAACAACAGTCCATAGCAATTCTTGTCAGAAAATAAAACCCCAGTATCTATGTGTGTGTCTCTCTCCATGCTTCCCTTCAAATTATTGAACTATTTCTGCCTAGGAATTAATTCATGCGGATAGCAATAGTACAGACTTTTCCAGTTGTGGGATGGAGTTGCACCATCTATAGATTTAATAAATAATTAACAACCGTACTTTAAATGCACAATGTTTAACCAAGTTGCATGTTAAATAGTTAAGTAACTTTTGCATATACACTGTTTCATTTACTTAAATCTGGAGATGTCTCAGTTAAAATGCACTGAAGTAATCATGATCATAAGTCTCTCTGCTGGGACATAATGTGCATATGTATTTAATAGATATAACTACAGTTACACAGTCCCTATTAAATTTGATCTCTCATGTTTTTGTCCTGCTTGAATTATTGAATAGATTGCCTTTATGTAGATTGGGTTTATATAACATGGCTTGAAAGGATTACATCTTTTCCTTTCAAGAATGTCATCAGCTTGTCTAAAAATAAGCATTCCTGTGTAATGCATAACAAGGGTCAAATCTTTCTAACGCTCATGAATTTTAAACACCCATATTTAGGTAATCTAAATGGCTTATTGCAGCATTGCCTGTTTTAGATCTACAGCAGAAATAATGATATGTCTGGTGTGGTTTGTGTTTTGGGGCGTCTCCTGGAAATTATTTTCTTTGTAACAAATAAGAAAATATATTTGCTATAAGTGATAAATCAATGAAAGCTCTGGGCAATGAGCTTGATCTAAAGTAGGTTGCCAGCAGCATGCTAAAATTAAATGCTAATATTAATTATTTATAATAATAGTTTTTCCTGTTGGTTGTTGGCCGCCTATTTATGAATTGTGTTGCGAGCGCAGCTACGTTAAACCTTTAGTCATTTCTTTGGATTTGGAAAAACTCATATCTGAATAATAAAAATAAAAAGAAGCTATTTTATGCCTTGTCATTACACATATGGTACAGATGTTTCTAAGGTAGTTTACCAATTGTAATAAAATGCAAGAACAGAATCACAATAAACAGTGAAAATAACAATTAAAGATCTATATTATTAGGCTCCTTCTTAAATGGACAGTTGCTTGAAAAGGAAAGCTCCAGCTTGTGCTGCTTCTGAAATTTTTGTTTCCCTCCCATGTTTGTCTTCTTCTCCTCATAACAACAATATATAGATAGTGTTTAGA